TGTTCGACACTTTCGGATCTTTCTTTGCTCATGGGGCGCTCCTGGCACTAGCAAGAAGCTAGTAGGTTGGAGGCTACTACTAGTAACAAGAAGCTAATTACTACTAACTTTAGTAGCTACTAGCTGCTTTTTGTTGACACATGTTGCCTCTGGTGCCTCTGGTTGAAGCAGAGCTTCGACAACATGATCGGAACATCATCACAATATCTGCGAAGGACATTGTTCACATTGTAAGGCTCGCGAGGGGGGTGTCACTTTCTGCGTACTTTTTGTACTTCAACGCCGCTGGGCACTTCGACAGCACGCAAATACAACGGCAGACGCACCAAAAGGCCTAGTCATCCGGATGTTAGCGAGAACAAAACCACATATGTTTATCTTTGTGTGTGTGGACCAGTTCGCACTGGCTCCCTATGGCTGTTGCATATACAAATATGCATGTGAACCTAGATCAACCGGCTTCAAACGAAGGTCCTTTAAACCTTGCGCTGGTTTGGAGGCAGCAAACTCACAAGTTTCGCATGCGCCACATGCGCCACATGTACCGTGGCAGTCCGCGTGGCCAATTGCCTTGGCCGCCCTTCATTGATGTCGCGTATGTACTGGTGCTCTGCTCTGCACGAACATGCACTCGAATCGAGGGCATTGCAGAGCCATTTGCCACAGATTAGATGCAAAAGCCAGATTGGCTGCGATGAACCATCATCGATCTTGGTCATGTGAGTGAAACCAAAGGAAGGCTGACGTCTGAGTTAAACGAGTACCACTAAGGTTCCACGGGAAGAATGGACATGGTTGTTCATGCACAAATGTGTCCATGCAAGTATGCCACTGAGGAAACCACACGAAATCAACAGCATGTCATATCATATTGGCAGTTGCTGGTGACAACACGCCACTGAGGCGAGCAGTAGATGCTTTGGGCGAATAGCCGAATAGCTATGTATCTGTTCCAACGTGAACTCCTGTTCCAACATGACCGCGAGTCTTAGTCTAACCTCCTGTTGACGACGTTTGCGGTGTCCGGTCCTCGACATGCCATCGGCACATCTGATCACTGGAGCCAAGGGGCCAAGGAGCGACGGTCGAAGCTGAGCCTGTTCTGCAATTGGAAAATGAAGAAGGCAAAGGTCTAAAAGCTAAGCTCTAAAATGTCTTTTAAGAATATAAACAAACCCGAAGGAAAGAAAAAGAAGAAGACTCAATGGAACTCAATGGTTAAGTATTAAAGAAAACTCAAAAGGAAAGAAAAAAGAAAATACTCAAAGCAACTCGAAGTTTAAATCATAAAGAAAACTCAAAAGAAAAGACAAAGAAAAAGACTCAAAGGAACTCAATGGTTAAAGTAATAAAGAAAACTCAAAGGGAAAGAAAAAGAAAAAGCAGGTCTTTTCTTTTCTTTCAATAGCTCAAATGACTCTTCTGCATATGTGCGACTCTCCGCTCAGTCCAACCCTTTTTCGGGCTGCACACGACTCGAAGCTATTCATGAGTACCATACCTGCGAATTGGGTCTAGGTGCACCAAGGATGCTTTCTTGTTGTCTATACGAGATAATCCTGCTGGAGGCCATGAGTGGGAATCCTCAGTCAAGGGTTTGCGCTGTTTGCGTTGCGGTACTAAGTTGCCCAAATACAAAAGTTTGAGTGATCTTCGAGGTTCTGGTGCAAATCCCATGTGATGGGATGGGTGGTGTCCGCGGGGTGCATTATACTCATACCATGTATGGTGGCATGCGGAAGACCTGCAATGTTTGCAAGGGAGTATGTTTTGCGGGGCGACAGATTAGTAAGAAATTGCGGCAACCGTTAGAACCTCCGGAAGGGTCTTGTACAGGCGGAGCAGTTTGGGCTGGAAAGCACAGGGAAAAAGCAAGATAAAGATTGAGAATGTTAGGAAAAATGAAGAAAAACAGACTTAATGCAAGTAGGTTGGAGGCCATCGCTAGTAGGTTGGAGGCCATTGCTTCTAGGTTGGAGGCCATCTTAATTGAGTGACTTCAGGTCACTGATATGTTGGGTCACTCATTGAAGATGGTCTTGGCCCACGATGGATGAGGAGCATCAGGTCTCAGCGGGCACCAAGCCTCACAGACCGGCCATATTCGCCAACAAGAGCAAACGAAGACGTGTAATGGAAACCAATGCAGAAAATGGAAACCCTTTAAGAGAATCATGATATATCGTCCTATCAAATCAGCGCTGTCTCTTTGATTCTCAACATATCCTCCCCATGCTGTCTTATTCCTTTCACTTGATAAGTGCACATCTCCAAACTAGATCCACCTCTTTGGACTCCATCAGTTCGCACCTGCGAGAGATTGAGAAGCACCGCTCATCCAGAATACGAAGCAGCGAAAAACCAAGAATGGTTCCCTATTGAATCACGTGATCGTTTGTCTTTGCCCACTTCGAACCTCAGGAGCATCGTTGGCGAGTCCTGCCCGGAAAACCAAAGTACTTCAAACCCTCAGCGTCGAACCCAACCGACATTTCAGTCCTGCTGGTCCACGACGTCCAGCAGCATGGCATCGGACCTTCCAGCAGGTTGGAGACCATCGCTTCCAGTTACTATAAAAGTTTACGTAGTTAGTAGTTTGCTAGGTCTGCTGCATCGACCACTCCGTCCATTCCGTCCGACCGAAGGGCTGACCTCTGCTGCCCATCTGCGGCCATCGCCACCAGGTCCCCAGGCCTCGAGAAGTGGCCGCAACAAAAACCTAAGCCCACCAGCATTCCTAGAGGACCTAATCTAGTGTGATGGATATATATATATATAACAACGTAAAAAAAACTAAACACCTGAGAAGGGAGGGGACCAAAACCAGCCTACGTAAGAAGACATCAATGTGGTTAGGAGAAAGGTTGAGTTGAGCAGGACATTCGCAGGTTCGGGGTGCCCTTGTTTTTTTCGTTCAACGGCGCTTTCAAGCTGAAAAAGGGCACCCCTAATTAACTGAGGGGCGCTTGCCTGCTGTTGTTTTCAGAGACACACAAACATAGGATCAACAACACGTCAATCATGTCAATCATACGTTTGCCACGTCATAATCTAACTCTCTTGGACGTCTATATATCGCTCTGAGGGGGCCTTTTTGCATCCAGTTAACTGCCCTTTTCCCAAAAAAAGAAAGGAGCACCCCCAAGCAACTCAAGGGATGCTAACTGCATTACCCCTTCCTCTCCTGTCCTCTACCTGGACTCATAAATCTGGTGAGCCCACCTCAAATATGGGGAGCCCTCTCTAAGGAGCAAAGAGGAAATACCACATCAAGACACAGCTAAGCAGCGAAACCCCCAAGTGTCCTCCTGCGTTGTCCAAACGCTCTCTCTATCAGAAATAGATTCTGGATTGCACAAATCTCGCCGCTTCTGTCCTCTAACTGGATGGACACACCTGGTTAGCCTGGTCAGCTCCCTCAGTGTGGGATGACCTCTTTTCTTGCATCTCCTGTCCTCTACCCGAACTCCCACCCCTAGTCAATGGACAGTCTAGGTAATCTCTAAGCCTTCGTGAACCCTCTACCCAACCCCCACCCTAGTCAACAGGAATCTAGTTTCCTGAGCACTTCGTGATGCTAATGGTGCACTACTCAGCATCATTTGCATCACTCGCATCACCAAGACCCCTAAAACAATCTATATAAACATACATTTTTGCTACCTTCCTGACCGCCTCTTCTTTTCACTCTCCCCGACCAGGCTCACCCTACCCGGCACGTTTGCGACCACCCCCCCACACCCCGTATACTCACTTCGTTCGCCCATCGACAACTCCAGCCTAGCCTATCGGCTGGCTTTCGTTATATATGTATGACGGTTTTGCAGAAGGCATAAACAAATACAGGAGGCATAGTAAGTAGTACCTAAAGGGAAAATGGACACGCAAAGCAATTCAAAGCGAATGACCCACTCACCTCAAGCACAAGGAGAAGCATCGAAGCTCACCCTGGGCCTTGAAATCCAATCGCTCTTTGCTTTATGTTACACTTCTTTAATGGCACTGATCACACTCACGACCTACACGACGCTGAGGGCACCACGTGTGAAGTACTGGCCAAAAGTTGCTTGTCTCTGATGGCCCTGAGCGTGGCGAATTGCGTACGGCATGCATGGCAAATCCAACACCTTACAATTGAATACTTGAGATATCACTTCAGCCACAGTACCAAGCGGCTGCTACACCACAAGCCGCGCTTGACAAGGTGTGCTCAGCCAGCACTAGCAAAGCCTCAGAATCTGCATGTTGGAGGCCATCGCTAGTAGTAACAAGGGCATCGCTACTAGTAGCAAGAACGCTACTAATAGCTAGGGCATTACTACTAGTAGCAAGGACGCTAGCAGGTTGGAGGCCATTGCTAGTAGGTTGTAAATGTCGAACGACGCCCACAGAGCTATGATCAGTGTATGGCTGCTCTGAGGGCGCTGCTGCTCGAGTAGCTTCTGGAAAAGCGCGTAGCACTGCCTCTCAAAGAAGCACCACTCCACATAGAAATGGCGACTTGAAATGACATGAAACGTGCAAACAGCTCCAGCCATAGCTATCAATGCTGACGAAAACAAGAAGCACTCTGGCAAGCGTTTGACCACGCGGAGTGGTTCAGTTGTGACAGGACTCCATCAAAGGTCGAAAGGACCTATGCAACAACCATGTTCAAGCCTCTGCCGGAACCAACGGTGACAGAACTTGACCTCGGATTCCAAGATTAGCTCTCTGGTCGACTCATCTCAAGGTATGCATCTTAAAGTCTTAAAGTGATACCTAATAGCGATGGCCTCCAACCTACCAGCGATGGCCCCTGTCTAAAACTTCATACTCCTGGTAGCTTGGAGTGGCTCGATGTCAAAAAATCACCTTGGGTACCTTGCGCCGTCTTGCACGCTCCAAGAGACTTTTGCTGCAGCACAGCCTGAGGGAAATGTTCAATGATTGTTCTTGTTACTATTTATTGCTCTCGCTGTGAGGTTGGGGGGCAGAGCGGCCCTTCGCATTGTGCCTTTTTCGAATCCTCAGAGCTCAAGGTTGGTAGGTTCCCTTCAGCTCTGCAAAGTACGCACCGCAAATACTGTTGCGAAGGGTTTGCATCTGCAGGTCGCTACTTTTCAATTGGGGGCCCTTCTCGGGACCAACCCGAAGTTCGGACGGGAAAACTGCCACAAAATCAATCCACATACGCCTGAAATACTCCGTCTTCCTTAGGCTTCCTTAATGGCCTTCACCGCTTCGGCATAGGAGGGTGCCCCGAAGACCGCGGAACCGGCCACGATGGCATTGCAGCCAGCAGCCTTGATCTCCTTGGCATTATTGCCGCTGGCACCACCATCGATCTCAATCCATGGGTTCACACCCTTCTCCTCGCACATCTTCTTCAAGTCCCGAATCTTGTCCAGCTGCGACTCGATGAAGCTTTGACCGCCAAAGCCAGGGTTCACGGACATAATGAGGACCAAGTCCACCTTGGAACAAAATTCTCAGAGTCTTTGAACTTCTACAGGAACCCTTTGGGATCTACACTCTGAGTGTCAGAAGCTGAACATGGAGAAACCCGAAACCTCTCCACCAACAGCTTACACCAATTCAAACACAGCATCAATTCAACAGCCTGCTTTCAAGAACACACAGCAAAAAACTCATCAAACCAGCCTCTGAGAGCACATACTCGATCTGGGACAATGGAGTGCCTGGGTTGAGGACCACCCCAGCCATACAGCCCATAGCCTTGATCTGGTTCAAGGTACGATGCAAATGAATAGTGGAGGCACTCTCACAATGCACCGAAATGATGTCAGCGCCTGCCTTGGCAAAGTCCTCCACTCGTTGCTCCGGCTCCACGATCATCAAGTGGCAATCGAGGACTGCATCTGGATGAGCCTTCCTGAGGGCTGCGACCACACCAGGACCAATGGTGATGTTCGGCACGAATCGCCCATCCATCACATCCACGTGCACCCAATCAGCACCAGCCTTCAACACATCACCGACTTCCTCTCCCAGCTTGGCAAAGTCAGCAGACAGGATGGAGGGCGAGACTTGCACGGTCTTGTCCATGCTCCTCAACTTCTCCACTCGAGGATTTCCCTCTCGCATGGCCACCACTCGAGCAACTTGTTTGCTTCGCTTCACTGCCTTCACGGCACCTCCAGCCATGGCTGCGCCGACGACGCCGGCCATAGCCATCGTGGCGCCGCCCATCTGTGCCTGGCGCCCATCTGCGTGTGCCGCTTGAGGGGCAGAGGCCCGGAGGTTCGGAGTGGGCGCCACGAAGGCACCAGCACAGCCGAAGAGCGCAGGGATCATCAGGGATTTGGCCATGGTGCTAAGTGGTGTCTGTCTATTTTTGGACCCTTGCGGCTTGCTGGTGCAGTGCAAAATAGCCGATCCTCAAGCACTTGTAGGTTTTTCAGCCAAAAGGCCTCCTAGGCATCCTACCATATCCTACCATCATTACGAATGCGGCAACAAACATGGTCAAAATGAGTTCAAGAAAAATGAACTATGGACTTTGTGGACGGTCACATCGAACACATCCGTTTGGCATCTGGGTTTTGCACCCTGCGGCTGTGTCTGTGTTGAAGGAAGCAACCTCATCGTCCTCATCGAATAGTGAAGGACAGAGTATAGACTTGTTTGTTCTTTTGAAGGGGTACAGTCACCCATGGTGAAACAATTAACATAATGTAGAAAATAGTTTGCACATGTTGCAACATTTCAAAAAAGTCGACAATTGTTCCAGCAATTGCTTTGAAATTGTTTGATATTTCCATCAAATGTTTCATCAATGGTTGAATAGTTCCAACAATTGTTTTAACATTTGTTGAATATGTTCAACAACTGTTTCGACAATTGACAATTGTTCAATATGTCGAACAATTGGTTCGCAATGGTTTTGAAATTGTTGAATATTTGCAACAAGTGTTTTGCTAAGTCAAACTCACTGTGATTTTGAAGGCTGCCTTTTTTTCTAGGCATCAGCCAGTGGTATCGACAATGAAAGTCAATACTTTGGGAAATATTCAAATGTTATGTATTACTTCAAAGCAATTGTCCAAAACTATCGCCGTCAACATCTCAACAAATGATTTGTAGAGAAACGATTTTGTAACATATATGTAAATAAAGAAACATTATCTGGCAATATGTATATATAGATATACAATCTCGACAAACCATGTGTAGAGAAAAGCTTTTGCAATTGATTTCCCAAATGTTTCGACATGTCCCAAGAAATTCCAACATTTGCTTGCCGATTTTGAAACAATTGTTGCAACAATTGAAACAATTGCTACAACCGTTTTGAACAATTTTCAACAATTTCCAAAGCAATTGAAACAGTTGCTACAACAATTTTGAACCGTTTTCAACAATGTCTAAAACAATTGAGACAAGTGCTGCAACAATTTTGAACAATTTTCGACAATGTCCAAAACAATTGAAACAGTTGCTACAACAATTTTTGAACAATTTTCAACAATTTCCAAAACAATTGAAACAATTGCTACAACAATTTTTGAACAAGTTTCAAACAATTCAAACATTTGCCAAAACAATTCGAAACATTTTCTCTATATCCCCAAAGGTCCCGGAGTACCAAGCTTCTTAAAACAAACAATTATAGACCCCTAGTGCTTGCACAAACGTTCCGTTCACCTCAAAGGGAGCAGAAAAATCTAAACCCAAAACTCTCTATCTAAAGACATGTTGTTCATTTTTGATATCGTTTCTGTTCCTCCTGTCTTCAGACTTTACTGCAGACCTTTCTTTTCGTGTTTCTACTTTCCTTTCGAGTGGCCAAACTGCCGAACTCCTTCCCTCACCTGGTACGGCTTCAAGAGGCGCAAAATCATTGGCTGGGTGTCTGCGCGAGAGGGCATTGACCTGCAAAACGAGCGGCTCACGAGCGGCTCCACCGGAAAAAGAACTAAAATTACGAAAAAGGAATGTTTCCAAACTCCAACCTATTAGCGATGGCCTCCAACCAAATAGCGATGGCCTCCAACCTAATAGTGATGGCT